GAGCACACGGGCCTTGAGAATTTTTCGCCTGCATTAAAAATGCAGCCACCACAGCCAGCACCCGTGACATGCGGGTCAGCAGCCGAGTACCTAAGTCACAAAACCACCGCGGCGGGCCTCGGTTAAAGCAAACACACTGCAGATTATAGATGTCCAAAATTGTTAGCAAAACTTTACACATGCGCGCAAAGGGCCCAAATTTGTCGGAAGGTTTGCTGAAAAGAAGTTCGTTAAATTCGCCTTGTCATTTTGCGCTTTTTCTGTACCCGAACGGCACTGCTGTTCGCCAAGCATTTGGCTCGTGCCATGAAGTGCGTTAGAGCTGGTAAATAATAGTGAATTGTTTGAGCAGTAAACTCATTGGCATGCTCGGAAACGCTCACATATTTGCGCTCGATGATGAATATAAACTCACATATTTGTGCTATATGACGAATATAACGTCCTTCGACAGAAAATCACGCCCACCAGGGTAATCACGCCTACCTTCATCACTGTTATGAAGCGCATCTCCAACTTTTTTTTTTATCGCTCCACTCTAGTTGGTAACGCCGGTAAGGAGGCAACCACAGCGAAGTTGTTTTGCGTGCACAATTTTATAATCGCTTCCACTTCTTGTGCAGAAAATAAGCTAATCTCTGTATTTTAGCTGCGCAACAGTTTTTCATTTACTTGGATGATGTACAGCCACGGCCACGTCTGTGTATAGGGCGCGAGCGGCCAGCCTTGCTCTGCGGTGCGACACCTTGCGGCCGTTGTGAGTTGTGACGTCGCGTGCAGAGGAGCATGCGCGGCCTTACAGACTTGCAGGCATCCTATGCACTGGTGACAACGGAAGAAGGTGTGCTTGTTTAGCTGAAGATCCGCGCTCCCTCAGGTCCCTTAACATAAAGCGCGTTTCAACTGATAAAGCGCGCTTGCATCAACTGCACGCTCACTTTTGGCTCTTTCAAGATGCGCGATTATATGAAGATATGATAATGGAACAGACCCATGAAAAAATTCTAGATGGCCACAAAACGAAACCGACCACAAAGAGTGCATTGTTTATGCAGGCGTGTGTCATCGGTAAAAACGCGCTTCGTCTTATAAAATAGATATAACGAAAGCGCCCTGAGCGAGCGCAGGTTTTCGGGTGACACGCCATCAAACGTTGTCTCCCATGCAGACCAGGCCTGCATGTTTGTAAGGCCGCGCATGCTCCCGTGCACACGACGTCACAACGCGCAATGGCCGCAAGGTGTCGCGCCGCAGAGCAAGGCTGGTTGGCCGGGGCTGTACGTGAGGTTACAGTGAAGTGAGGTCCTCACGAATCACGAAGCTCTTCAGGATCGCGTCACCATCGTCCTCCGTTCTCGCGTTGTAAAAGACAACATGCCGAGGTTTACCTGAAAACTCCTCAAAGTCCGCCATTCTCCAGTTCTTCGGAAGTTTTAAAGATGAGCCGTTTTTGACAATCTTTGCAAAATAAATGTTGCGCACGGGATCAGGATCCTATAACTGGTACTCCACTGAGGGTGTAGCAACAAACACGACTTTGTTGGGTAAGCTGCCCCTACTCTTAGGCGACCACCACGTTTTGATCGCTCTGGACAAATAACAGGAAACAATCGGAAATCGACACGGCACGGCTTCCGGTTGTTATGCTCAAAAGCCGTGGTCCATTTCAACAACCTGGTCGGCAATTACAATGTCATGTTGCATAAAATGCCCGTCACACACTTTTCATGTCCTGCTCAGACTGTGTTCATAGACATCAAGTAGACAGTCTACGCAGACTGCTTAGAAGGCAGCATCGAACCTATGCTGTCTGAGAATTGGAAGACGTTTGGACGGCTTTTATGCGACGAGGCGTCACCTCACGTTGAGATAAAAAGAATTCACAATAAATAAACGTAACAGCCGTATTTTCTGGCTTAATTTGTGTTAAAATCTTTAAAAAATCATACTTTACTCACATTGAGCTTCCGGAAAAGCGTCCGCTTGCGTGCAGATGACCATTCCGGTGAGATTTGGTCTATCTGAGTGGTTCGCTGAGTCGCCATCTTGTTTAGACAGCAAAGTAGTCTGCATCGCATTTATCTACATTGTGGTCTTCTCGAAGCGTTCTAGTTTGCCGGCTACGTGAAAATTGGAACGGGACTTAAGGTGGCCGCCGTCCATTAAGCTCTCTATTTAGCCGTCTACGGTGAGTATTGGAACACACCCTTAGAAGTGTATCGGTGCGGAAAATAGCTCTCACCCACCTTTAAAGCAGCTGCGGTTTGGATGGCGGTGCAAAAAAGTGCCGCTTTTGTGGATTGCTTTTGTGCCCACTGGTGCAGCTGGGCACAAAAACAATCCAAAAGCAAGTTGGCATCGTAAAGCTTTGCAGCTCTAAGACGTCCTGTGGCCGGTAGTTCTAGGTTCTCACAATTCACAAATGATCGAACTCGTCGAAGATAACCATGTGCGGGCATGGTCACAAAGCAAAGAGGTAAAAAATTGGCCCCGTATCTGCATGTTACACTGCAAATGTCGTGAGAAGACGATAGTCTTGCATCTGGAGAGAGAGAGAAAAAAACGTTTACTTGATGTTCTGCGCAAGAAAGTCGGTGAATAGAATTTTGGAGGCGCTGCGTTAGAGTGCCTCGACCTCGAGCATGCAGTGGAGGCGAACGAGCGCATCAAGCCACGTCAAACATGAGTAATGAGCGCTATCTGACAGTTACCTTGGAAAACGAAGCACGCGGCGTGCGCGCCCATATCGGAGGTGATAAGGTGTAGATTTCAAGGCGACGGGTAGGTGCCAGCCCCATGTCGTCATAGAAAAGCGTGGGAAACACTTGCCTTTTCGGGCAAGCGCCGCATAGTCAGCGCAGCGTGATAAACGCTACGGTCCTTAGAATTACTTAGGTATGCATTTTCTTGTAAAAAGACGCACAGAATATTGACGTGCGTTATGGTGCCTCAGATATGCGCAATAATTGCTTTTGAACTGACAAACTCACAGGTATGAACGCTGAATCTGAACAATATTGATGGGCGCTGCGAATGGCGTAGGCCGTTTGAGGTATCGTTTGGTGCCGTTTATGGTATCGTTAAGGGTGGACAAACAGAGAGATGTACAGACAGACAGACCAAAATTTTCGCGTAGAAGGTCGCCAAGAAAGCATTGTAAAGCGAGATGATAGCCGCGCACGCGGTCAAGCCGGCCAACCCATTGCAGCGTCTTTGGCGGCGCAGTTAAGGAACTGAAAAATTGGAGCATGTGGCGTCACTGGCCAGCTTCCGCTTTGCTGTCAGCGCTGCTGTTTCGTCTGCTGGGTTGAGCCAATGCCTGTTGAGCATTGAGAGTTCTTGTTTCCTCGACTGTCAAACGATACGCTGCTAATCTGGTGCGGCGACGGACGAAAGAGATGGGATGAGTAAGAAAAATAGATAAGCTCGGTTGACTTCACGAGCCTCTATGTTCATCAACCCGGCCAGAACTTGTGACGGCACGTTGGTTACAAAACGGCCCCATTCGATCAAATCATGGCATAGAACACGGATCTCTCACATTTCGCCTCTATCGGAATGCAAACGCCACGGCGGGGACCGAAGCCGTGACCTTCTGGTCAGTATGGCTCACTGTAACCGACATATCATAGCGTGTGCACATCCGACTAACACAGCAACTGTAGTCTTGAATCACGAAGGCACTGCATTTTTATGATTTAACGACACGACGTCTGCTGCAACAGATGCCAATGCAGCATACTCATGTGGCTTCAACAACAACAACAACAACAAACAAACAAGAATGACGTTTTTGGTTCCAGGCAGCAAAGTACCCTATCGCTGATAGCCAGTCGGAAAAATTCATTTTGTAGAGTGCGCTTTATTCGTCGTAAGTGTTATTGCTATCGGGTTGTCACGCTACTAAACTGGAAATTGTGGGTTTGACAACCGGTCACTTGAGGCTGCCGTATCCGCTCTGAGCCGAGCGATACAGTGCGCATGAGCTGAGCGGTACAGTGAGTGGTACAGTACTCTGATGCCACTACCTAAAAGAAGCGTGTTTATTCCACAGCCGCTTCTTATCACTTTACATAAGTAACGTCATAAGGCATCTCACTATTGGTTGATCCGATCAAAGAAAATGATAACGCTACAGTGGCTACAGTTAGGTGAGGCCTGAGTTCAGAGACACCCGAGTACTCAGTTTTTGGTGCGTGGTAAAGAAACTCAGGTGCTCAAAGCTAATCTTCAGTTCCTCTCTCTGGCATGGCTCATAACACATTCCCGGTATTGGCGAGTAAAACATCTGAAATTATGATTTTATTACCATCACTCTCACGCAGAATTTTTTTAATTACGCTTGGGCTGAAAGGCATATATCCAACGTACTAACATAATTCAAAAGAAAGTACAAAAAACGTAGACAACTTGAGCTTCCTCGATTAAAATATTTTACCAGTTAATTACGTTAAGGAGCCACATTTCTCGGGCTGAACACGCTATGAATTGCAATAAAAAAGTGAGCCTGCTTCATAATTTTTTCTCCAGTCATGTCCACTTATTACTATGTACAATTCATTATATCTCCTTAAAAATTCTGAAACAATTCATTAGGTTACACTGTAAATGTATATAAACCTATCTTAACGCTCATAAATGCCTACCAAGCTCAAAAAGAAAACAGGTTGAAGCAGTTTCACGCGTTTTATAGTCAATGTGCGCGACGCTGCAAGGAGATAATGCCCAAGCAACATTTGTCGCGTCCGCACACAATGCCCATCTTTCTAAGAGCATATTCTTGGCAACCCATTGTTCCGTGACGCTGCGACATGCCTTAGCAGTAAGAAAGCCCTGCCTTTTTCAATCCGAAGAAACATGGTAAAAATGCTATAGAGAAAATACTCGCTGGACCGCAGCTCCTATTGATATGAGCGAAGGTTTCATGAAAAAAAAAATGAAAGTCGACCTTCTTCTTTCGATTTTCTTATTTGATGACGGGATCGAACAAGTGCATGCCACCTTGTACAAAACCTGCGAGGGTTGCGTAACGCAGGTGGGGATTATCGCTTACCGTACGCCAGAGCTCGAGCCTTGCACCGTATACGCGCCGCAGCAAGTTGTTCAAGCGGGTTGCTATGCAGCAAGGGGCCATCATGACAGCTTTCTTCGCTATCGCCTTGCTGTGCACCGGTAAGCTGATTGATGCAATAATTTGCACACCATTCGCATGATATGGTTAAGAATCACAGTTTTGCCTCAAAGGCAAAGCAATAACTTTGAGACAGCACAAATTCGAATTTTATTCAAAATAAATCTGCAGCTATCAGCATTAGGGTCGAGTCTGACGTATAGCTTGAAAAACGCTAGCGTAAGGGCATGTGGCCGCGCTTGAGAGCTAAGCAGATATCCTGTGGTCTGTAAGCGGTGAGAGTGAAGTAGGTGGCTAGAGCACTGCATGCACAGGAGTATGAACCATGTACTGACCTCAGTTGAGATATCAAGCAGGACCACGCCCTTTTGTTCAAAGGTTAAAGTTGTCGCCTGAGCGACGCAGCCCTCTCACCGGCACCCTTTCATGCTACTTCTCCCTACACAGCTGGTCGGCACGGCTTAGCTCTGCCTGAGACGGTCCACTTCGCAGGCTTCGCAAACTTTTGTAGGCTCACAGAGTAGACGACCTGTGGGACAATGTTATAAATTTGAAATGATTAGGAAACACAATGGCGACGTATATATGCACCCACAGTTTTATTTCAGTAAGAAAAAAATTGTACAAATGTCGGCCATGAAAACGAGGAAACGATACAGCGGCGGGGGTTACAAACTAAGTGAGATCTCAATTCTAGTTCTCATCTCTCAGCACCCTTCTCTCAGTGGAGGAGAGCCAAGCGTGCTCAGTTTTACTTTCGTGCGTTTGTCTCAGATCTCTCTGTCACCAATGTAGTTCGTATGCTCCTCAGATTATCTGCATAAGCAGTTCCCTCAACCATACTGAGGTACACAAAATAAATGCCTTGTATCAATGAGCTACCTTAGAAATACGCTTTGTTTCGATATAGCGTGGTAATTTTGCAGTGACGTGTAAACACAATGTGGTATCGCAGGGAGACAGCAACTCGCCATGCACTGTCAAAAGCTGTGCCTTCTTCTGTCACTCGAGCATGGTGCGCGCAGACAAACATTAATATATGTGTTCTAACGACTTGCACAGCTATTTCGGCAGTTTACACGGCATGAGGGACGCGGACTTCCCAAACCCATGTAGTAAACCTTTTTGACTCATCGTGATGACGATCACTGCAGAAAGGATAGCTTGAAGGTGGTGGCATGCAAAACGTTAACTTAAAAGTAATATAACTTATACGCTTTGTCTGGCTTCGGCGTGTACAGAGCGTTAACAGTGTCGAGGAGACAAATTATGTCCCAGCAGCGGCGCCTCAAAATGATGTTATGAAAATTTGTCAGTGACACGGCTACCGAGAGATAAGCATTTGCGTTTAACGACCTACTATGTTTTCAACAAACGGCTTATTTTTTGTCATATCAGAATGTGAGCAGCTCTGCAGGTTCGCGGTGAAAATCGCGGATACGAGGTGATGGATGTCATAATGCAGCATCCATTTTTATGGCGCTAGCCTCTAGTGAAAGTATGCGTTTCAATAGCATACTGGGATTCTCTTCTTTTCGTGTATATATACCGGAAGTTGAGTGCTGGCTCGAGTAGAGTGAGGCCCCAATATTAAAATAAACACGTGCACATCTAGGAGGAAATGGTTCCGATTAGGGGTTACACAGAATACATATGAAATGGAAGCGTAAATGTCTTTAAGAATATGACTAATTAGCTGTCAGAATAATATCAGCTAAATAAATGGTCTCATTGAAATAAATTTGACAGATGCCACGCGCCTTGAGAATCCATGTAATGCGAAGCATGTGGATGTAAAGGGACGCTGTTGTAATTTTTTTACTGAGCGAAACGTTATGAAGGAGTGCTAACGGTATGTACAAGCACACGTGCAGGCAAGTGTTCAACAGGCACTTGTGTTTTATGTAACCAGCTGTTTACAGATGCGTAACGATGCCAACAGCAACATGGATACTAGCAACACCAGAAGCGCAAAGCTGTCACGTGGTCATGACGTTGACAAAGGCAGCAGACTGTATGTCCAAGATGAAGCAGTTTATTTAGCAAAACTTGTGGCCGATAGACGGGTCAGTCAGATTACAGTGATATACACAGGCACTTATAGTGGTGAAGAGAGCGTCGGCCGTAGACCAACCGATTCGAGGCAAGGCACGTCGGCATTTATAGATGCGGCGTTAAAAATACGAGCACCATCAGGAGTTGCCGTGCTCATTCTAGAACCAACACAGCTGTTCACCTTTGCCCTCTCAAGCAGAAGAAATTACCACAAGGTAATCTCGAATACTTGCAGACATTTTGGTGCTATTAGCTAGCTCAAGGCACTATCTACACGTATGATAGGCCGGCAGCATGGAACAAAGAAAGGAGCATGCATGGCAACATCAAGCGCTGGTTCTCGTGAAGATGGTATCCTCTGACCTTGCCGCATTAATCAACTTAAGCGAATGGCATTTTACTAGAAATGGTGTTAACGCGACGTGACGGCTGTGTCATAAGCGTACATATAGAATGCTTAATTTGCGCGTATAAATTGGCCGTAGCAAGCACAGGACCGAGTTGACTCGGAACATTGGAGAGGCCTTTGTCCTGTAGTGGACGTAGTCAGGCTGATGATGATGATGATTATTGTTTAAACTTGTCTTTCGATCGCGAAAACAAAAAGGACCTGTTGTAGCTTCTGTGTTTTAGTGATTCTGAGACAATAGGGCGGATATGGTATCTTCGTCACCCTGGTACATTAGCTGTACAGCCAGGGGGAGGGAGTGTAAATGACGTTAAAAAAAGACACTATTTTGGCAAACACCTAATGAAGCACGGCGCCGCATCTAAGGGAAACGGTGAACGAAAATGTAGGAAGAGGTACAGAAGTAGAGGTTCCAGGGAAGAACAGCGTTCCCATGCAGCCTAGTACATGTGAGGGGTAGAAGCCGCTCTATATCTTGCTATTTAAGCTGGTGTCGCCAAGGTCGCGCAGGACCACCCTGAAGTCTTGGTTGAGTTGGTGGGTAAGAAAAGGAAACTCCTTTTGGTTTTGTCGCTGGTTGTTCGTGGAGACGAAGTGTGGTGGCCATGGTTGCGCGCTGTTGGCGCACAGCAGGAAAGTGGCACAAAAGATGCGCCAATGTTTCTTTTGCCTTGTGCTATTGTGCAGAGTCTGGAGACTGGAGAGGAGCCCCAGCCATATGTATTTTATCAACACGTGCGCAGTTTTACCTTTAAAACTATTCGATAAACTACAGCTATCATTTTATAACAGAAAGAGAGATAACTGATGAGCAGTACATTGGAGCATCAAATGCGAAGAGATCCCAACATGCATCCTACAGTAAACTTTTGCAGGAATTTGGCTTCACAACTGTTAATTTCGGCTTTTTTAGTACGTAATGCTTCTAATGAAGCTGGTGAGTGTTAAAGTTACAATACCAGTTATACAGGCTGGAATGATCGTTCGGAAGTTTTCAGGTAATTTAAAAGAACTGATTGCAGAGATGGTAATTCATGAATACGAAGAACCGCGCGAAATAAATAAGAAAAATGCACAGCAACGTATAGTGAGAATACAACTTCTTTGAGCATTTCGCGTCCAGCAAGCTTTTGCTGTTGGGTGAGCTTTCATTTGCAGTGCTTGTCCCCTCTCAAACGAAAGTTGTGCTACGTTTCGGGATGCAGGGCTACAGCGACGATGTTCACGAACGGAAGTGATAAAGTCTAGGAGGCTGTATCATGATGCGCCCAATGCGTACGTCACTGCGTAGGCGCCTTCGTTTGTTATATGCCCTGCAACAAGTCATGCTGAAACTTTCTTATACCAGCTATCGTAGTAAACAAAGCTTTTGTTATTACGGTCACGAGCAGAGGCCCAGTAATAAAACCCTCTCTTTCACAGGTATCCATCGCCGTTGGCCACAAGGACTCGCTTTCATTACGCCCAGCATTCAAATAGGCCAGAATTTCCACCTAAGAGCAGTACGATCAAGCAAATCATATTTGCGAATTAGAAACCAGGGTTGCTATGCAGGATGGCCCGCGCTTGGCGAAACTCGGAATCTTATCGAGCTCTGGTGACACCCTCTTTTAAACGAGCGAACACAAGAAAAATGTCAAATGCACCCATCAGCGCGCCGCGTTCAATTGGTTACGATGGAACATGGCACCGCGTCAAGGACAGTTGACAAAGTTGGGCGGTGTTTGCAAGCTAGAGGCATGTTCCTTCATTAGTTTGTCGTTCCCATGAGTGCAGAAGTGAACCCATGCAATAAAAATCCTAAATTTTTTCTAATGATACACTTCACTTCAAAGGCACGGGCTGTTTAAATTCATATTGAAACTTTCAATATGTTCACTAAATATCCTTTAAAATAATCAGCCCCGTAGCCTCTGAGATTAGTTCCGACCAAGCGCTTTTACATGTACCATCGTGAACTCAGATAAACCTGAAGCCACGCGCATTTTCATCATGATCAAACTGTACATTCTAGCGCGCTGCACGCCGGTACGTGCCCTCTACGCCATGTTCATCGTCTGCTAGCTACCTGAGAATGTGGAGCTGGCTAATTATGCTCGGCAAAAACTTTCTTTGGCAGCACAGCCAAAGTGGCGTGGACAGAGTTTCTGCGCATGTGTTACTACACCAAGTAGTTCGTTTTTGTGTGACCTCGGATGGGGTTTTGCAAGCAAAGAAATGGTATACGTTTTCCCAATAGACAATTAAATAAATGTTATTCTTTTGAGAGGAAATCAATACAACCCCTATTTTTTAAGGAAAAGAGGAAGGAGCTTTATGGGAGTGTTTTGTTGATTTCAGAAAAAAAGTCACGTCTGAGCATTATCAGGGTGATCGGAAAAAAGAACGCAATGGCACGAAATGATTTCCTGAATTTCAGTTCATACTAGGGTGGTCCCGTTGTTTTCCTTCGTTTGTAGATGATAGAGTGAGCTTTATGGAGACGCTCCCGTTATTTTATTGCGATAGCTATAATATGAACAGTTTCGGCTGTTTTTTGGTGCGTTCGTTGCCGCAATAGCGAAGCAATGAATGCGA